GGCGTTAACCAAGGACATCTATATTTGTTATTAAGAGTTTTTCCAATTAGTAGGTTCCAATTGGTAGCCTCTGTTGGATCTTCTGCTCCAATTACAGTTTCACCGTTAAAGGTACAATTTCTTGAAATCTGCAGTTTGGAGAAATGTTGACCTTAGAAAAGATTTTCCTGATTACGTTGAAGTAAAAGTGTCTTTAACGTACCCAAGAACATATATATCTGCTACATCTTTGAGATTCAACCATTCATCCAAATCTACAGCCAAACATCCCACAGGGGACCTTCCCGCCACATTCCAGGTACCCACAAAAACTCTGTAAAGTCAAAAATATTCACCCCGCTCCTCAATATAGGAAGTATTCAAGGATGGTGTTGAGCAAATGTGAACAGTAAAATCAAAAAAAGAAGAACAATAAAAAATTGACATACAGAAATTTAAATGGTGCGACAATATGCCTACGTTCACTGTACGATGCAAAAAAAAAAAAAAAAAAAAAGCCGCTAATTTGAATAAGGTTAAATAAGGTTGTTTATATAGAACTTTAATCCCCAAATTACCCTTGCAACACAACCGCAAGAGCACTTGCTCCCCCATCTTATCTACGTCTAACCTAATGACTAACGAGCTAGTTGATTACGCTACGTGTCCCAACCTACCGGCCCACACAAACATTCTCCTAAACTCTCACCTCAATGTATTGGTAGAAATGCATGGATCCTTCTCAGACAATCCATCGGCGACACCATCCATGTAATCATCATTTTCTTCGCCGCCATCTGCATGCATAAACAGGCTATTCAAACTCAAAATTCTTGAAAATCAATGTAAAGACACCAGAAATTTTTAAAGAGGATAACACGTTGTGCCTGATTTCACATTAAATTGAAATGGATCCGCTTCCTTGTGCTTCCTTGAAAACCACCACCGGGGCAACCTTATTTGTTCTAGAGCCGTTGTGCTTGTTATCCTTATCCATGATTCATAAAACAGAAATATTCCCTGCCCCAGTTACAATTTCTTCTACTTTTTAGGACAAAAGGCTATAGATTTCGTGTTTTCGCTGTAAGCTAATATTGTATTGATCGATAGGCATATTTACAGTTCAACCGATTATAACGAGAGAGAAGGTCAAATGTGGTTGTGTCTCTGTGAAACTTTAATTTATTTGTAATTTACTAAGGAAATACGAAAATTAGAGTAGTTCTGGACCTCATGTGGTTCCATCATTGCTTAATAATTGTTGGAGTGATCACGTAAATCTTATGACAAGGTATTTTGCAATGAATTTGGCTAGGTCAAATTTAATATCCCCTTTATTTGTTAAAAATAAATAAGGTTATTTAGAATCTTGAAAATTGGAGACTTTGCCAACTCGTGTCCACCCATATGGAACAATTAGTTAATATTTCTAAAACTTAGAAAAATCAGTTCGAGCATTGAATTAAAAAAGATAAAAGAGCTAAAAGATCAAATGGTTCGATCCAAATTAATGTTGAACTAGAACCCGATTTATAAAAAATTATGAGTCATTAGACCCTTAAATAAGATTATAATAATAAAGTTATTCATATAATGTAATATATCTAAAAGATAAATTTCAAATATGTGACTTATGTTGACTTATTTTGAATGTTAATAAGTTCATATTAAAAATAAGCCACATATTTGTTGCTTATCTTTAATATAAGTCATCCGAGCATACGCTCAATCACTTAGTCCTTAACAATCATTTTTATATGAAAAAAAGGCCGTTGAAAGGTCCATTGTCCCAAGGTTAGTTCGATTTTTACTTTTTGATAAGTGTATTTTCTACATTTATTTAGGCCATTAAAATTGAGTATTTGTTGATGAATTTGATGAAATATGACTTAATCCTATGTATATATTGTGTGTAGATTACAATCAATGGAAGATACGAGAATAAAGAAAATAAGCAGGAAAAAAGACTCAATTACATCAAGGGCAAAGTTTGGGGACTAAAATGCAATAATTCAAAAGTTGAATTGGACCAAAGAACGATGAGTTGAGAACACCAAGAGTCAATTGGAGTTGAAGAGAAGTTAATGGGACAAGAAATTTTGGAAAAAGGACCAAAACACACACTTCAAAAAGTTCAAGGACCAAATTGCAAATTGGCCTCTAAAATAATTGAACTATGCGTACGCATGGGCCTGCAGGCCTTGCGTACGCACGGTTGGAAAATTGAACTTCCGAAACTCAATTTAGGCTACTATGATGAACCATGTGTACGCATGGTTCAACTTCGATAAAAAAATTCTGATTCCGTATTTTGTTCTGGAAAGTCTTGGTTTGAAATTTTTTATAGCATATTTATACCAAAAGTCGGCTAAGACATGGGAGAACCTAATTTTCTAACATCTTGCAAGCTGACAAAGAGGAAAAAGAGAGCGGGACATACATTCAGGAACAAGACTTCATTACTTGGATTCGAAATTGAAGGCATAAAGTGCAGGATTTCATATTATTTTCATACTTTAATGATTCGGGTGATGTCGTTCTTTTATTTTTCCTGTTTTTCCTACATTAATATGCTAGGCTAAATATCTTTGTGTTGAATGAATGACAAAACTGATCGACTTTTAGTTTTTAATTGAAGACATTATGTTTTTATCTTAATTCTTGTGTTGTGATTTCTTTAATATGCATATCCATATTGTTTTAATGTTTGCACACTATTAGGACAATAAGTTTCTTATTCATATTATTGGAAAACTCACAGTAGGTAGAACACTGTTATTGGAACGCATGGACAATGAATGTTAGGAATAATATTTGTGACGTATGTGATCATGTTTGATAATCCTATACATCAATGCGTGTTTGCCATATGAATTTGGATTAAGAATAGGATCATCTCGTGGTAATCATAGGTTTATTATATCTTAAGAAAGAATAATAAATAAAAGTGAAATTATCGATCATCACTATTACATGAGTTGAGATAATTGTCATAGGTTAAGAATTAGAACTAAGAGTTGATCAGTGGCGTCGAAAATCCAATACATTCACTCATCTGAATTCTAAAACAAATTCTCATTAATTTTGCAATTTTTAGTTATAGAACTTAATTAGCTATTCAAACAAACATCAACTTTTAGTTAATCACACGAATTTAATTATATCGAATACATTGAAATTAGACCTTATTTTCTATGGGACGATAACTCTTTTATCACAATTATTACTTGTACAACGAATCCGTACGCTTGCGAGATTTCGACGAACAAATTTTTGGCGCCGTTGCCGAGTATAACGGTGTTAATTTTACTTATTAGATATTTTAGATTCGTTTTTATTTTTATTATTTATCTTTTTTTTATATTGTTTGTGTTTTTATTTTATTTTTAGTTGTTGTTTTTAGGCTACCATTACACTTTTTAGGCGACTTTAGTTTATGCAAAATCCTGACAAGCCAGATTTTTTTTCCAATAGACCACTAAATAGAAAGAACATTTAGAAATCGTAGAAGAGTTCAACGTCAAGCAAGAAGAATAGCCGATAACCAAAATCAACCACAAAATCATGTTCAGCTTCACGAGCAAATACCGTAGCCAAATCAACCGAGAGCTATCTAGAACGAAGTCCCTATCTTAGTTGGAGATTATGTTAATCCAATTCCAGCACCAGTGCAATCAGCTGTAGTATATCCTTCCTTTGGACAACCTAATTTTCACCTTAGACCAGATGTCATCAATTTGTTCCAAAATCATCAAGACATCCAGTTCTTTGGAAAAGCCACAGAGAATCCTCATGAACATATTTCGGCGTTTCTTATGCTACGTGAGGTAATCAGTCACGAAGGAATATCAACAGATGCATTTTGAATGAGATTATTCCCTCATACCTTGAAGGACACTGCTAGGGAATGATTTCTTAGTTTACCACCCGGGAGCATTCAATCTTGGAACGATATGGTTCAAAAATTCATGATGAAATTTTTTCCACCTTCTCGAGTTTATCAAGTCAGGAATAAAGTCCACACTTTCAAGCAGAAAGATCTCGAGAGCTATCCCAAGGCATGGGAGAGATTCAAGAATTTTTTCAGGAAATGCCCCAGCCTTGACATCCCTAAAAAGACTCAACAATATCTATTCTACTACGGTCTAAAGCAAGAATTCAGAAATATGATAGATGCTTCTGCAGGAGAATTGGTGATGAAATTTGATGTGGATGAAGCATAAGCATATGACTTATATGAAAGAATAGCTGAGAATCAATCGATGTGGCCAACCGATAGGGAAGCTCCAAGGAAGACGGTAGGGTTACATAATGTATATGCAGTGACAGCACTGGCTGCACAAATGGAAGTTCTTACAATGAAAATAGACAATCTATCTCAGTCAGTTAACATGGTACACCAATCTCCACCGGTTTGTGAAGGTTGTAGAACTGATCATAATACTACGCACTGCCTTTTGGCATCTACACATGTTTACCAGTTTGAAGAAGTGAGCTATGCACAGAACTTTCAGAGACAGCAAAATAGTCCCTTCTCTAACACATTTAATTCGGGTTGGAGGAATCATCCAAACTTTTCATGGTCTAGCAATCAGGGACAAGGACAATGAGGTAACAATCAGAATAAATCATCAGGGTTCCAATAGCAACAATAGCAAGGAAGAAAGCCATCGTTGGAAGATTTGCTGGCTCAATACATTACTAAGACTGAAACTAACTTTCAAAATCAGCAGGCGTCTATCAAGAATTTGGAACAGCAGGTGGGATAGATCGCAACTGCAATAGCTATTAGACCATCGGTTCCCTTACCAAGCGACACAGGGAAGAAACCACGGAAGCAGGTATTTGCAGTTGAGGCGGTAAATTATGCAACTATTGAGCTTCCATCATTCACTCCCACCAACCTTGGCAAGGCGTATGTGCTACCCATTCCATTTCCTCAGAGACTACGAAGGCAACCAATAGTGCAGCAGGTTTAGGCCATCACTACTAGGAGTGGTGTTCAGCTATCAAAAATCATAATGAAAAAGAAGGGGACTGAGGAGAACCAAGTGCCTACCACGGGGAAAGATCCGATGGAACAGTCTGAAGAAACAATAGAAAATGATCAAAAGATAGTTTCAGATAGTTCACAACTTAAGGCAAATATTCTTGGCACTACACTAACACCCCCGGTCCCTTCTCCTCAAAGGTTGCAAAAGCCAACTTGGAGAAGCAAGCTATGAAATTCTTGGAGGTCCTTAAAAAGCTACATGTCAACATTCCATTCATCGACGCTATCCTTCAAATATCAAACTATTCTAAATTTTTGAAGGAAATGTTGACTAAGAAAAGGAAAATGCCTGAGCATGAAACAATAGCACTATCTGAAAAATGCTGCGCGATCATCTAGCATAGGATCCCTCCCAAACTTAAAGATCCATGGAGTTTTACTCTACCTTGCTCCATAGGAAATCTAAATGATATAAATTGTTTAATTGATTCAGGAGCGAGTATTAATTTAATTCCCTTACCTCTTTACAGGAAACTAGGATTAGGAGTTCCTAAGGCGGCATCTATTATCCTTCAGCTAGCGGACCGATCACTGAAACACCCCTACAAAATAGTCAAAGACATGCTCATCAATGCGGGGAAGTTTATTTTTCCAGCTGACTTCATCATCCTCAACATAGAAGAGGCAAATCATATGCCAATAATCTTGGGACGACCATTTTTGTCTACAAGTCGAGCCTTGCTAGATTTTGATGCTAATGAGATAATCTTGAGGATAGAGGATAAGCAACAGAGCTTCACTATGAAGAATGCAATCAAGCAATCATCTTACTTTGAGTATTGCCAACGAGTTGATCATTGGAAGAGCTACAAAGGCAGGCCAAATGAAGGTGAAATTATTGGTAAGGACAGTAATGAAAACTTGATTTTGTGGAGGATGAAAGATGAAATAAGGAAGTGCAATTAGTGCATAAAATGCAGAGGTGAAAATTCCCTCTTCGAACCACCATGAATAGCCAAAACAACAAAGTCTAACTAAAGATTATAAGTTAAACGCTTATTGGGAGGCAACCCAATTTCTAAACTTTTTATTTATTTTGTTTTCTGCTTCGCATTGCATATAGACTTGTTTTAATTATTAGTTTGAATTAAATTTAGGCACGTTTAAATTTATATGGTGTCATCATTCGATCATGTTTTCACTGAGGCCCTTAAATATAATATTAGTTATTTCGAGTGTTTGGACTAAGTAATACATATTCTAGATTATTTGATCTCTAATATTCGATGTGATTGACATATGCAGGAACATGACGTCGTGGAACACTCAAACCAACATAAGCCAAGAGGAAAGCATGATAAGAAAAATTGTCTAGCCGTAACCTACAGGACATTCCATGTTCAATAGAAAAATTCGAGGAGTACCTTCGTCATTTTCTTTCCCATCCCTTTACATTCTTAATTATGTTTTAATACATTGAGAACAATGGCGAGTTTAAGTTTAGGGGTGGTTTAATACGTAATCTTCATTGCTTGCATGTGATTTACTTCTTTTCGCATGATTGATGTGTTTTTATAAAATAATAATAATAACAATAATAATAATAATAATAATAATAATAATAATAATAATAATAACAACAACAACAACAACTGTTTTTAACTTTTGTGTGCTTGTGTGGGTTGGATGGCCTTGCTGGCAATGATGCATATATTGGAACTATGTAATTAACTAAGAACTGTGGAAGAATTATATGTTGAGTTAGTTGACACTTGTTGATGTGAAACTCGATCTCTATTGAGCACGATATTCATGTTTTGCATTATGAATTGATCACTTGGTTTGTATAAGGAGAAAGTTGAACATAGTTGATTAAAAAAGTCGAAACAACACAAATACATAAGACCATAAAATCTCTTTTAGGAGAATTTGGAGATGATTAAACTAGTATAGAGAAACATTGAGATAAGTAAGGATTCCATGTGTGAAATGATTGTGTGGATTATCTAGAGCTAATAAGATGAATTGGGATGAAAACCTCAAGTTAGGGGTTCGGTTTCGAGAATAAGTGTTTAATAAGGGGCATTGCACTAATCTTGGCAATTAAAAGAAGTAAAAAGAACCTTTCTTCGGAGCCTTTTTTACTCGAGCAATTAAGAATGCAACGGTCCTTAAAACCTGGTGCCCTATGGTCATTTGATTTGGGAGTCATCGGCTGAAAACTCGCTACATGGGTCACTTAGTTGCTTAATAGAGAGAAGTATATTTAAAAAAATTGTTAAAGTATCAAAATGAACAGGTGCATGAAACAAAAGATGCACCAAGTACCAAGATTAAGCCTCAAACAATTATTTTAGATACTTATACTTTTGACAATAGGTTATTAGCTCAATTGAGTCTTAAAGGCCGAAGTAATCAAAAATATGGGAGAATCCTTATTAGTCGAAATGTAAACCTATATTAGCTAAGATCTATCCAAATGAGAGAGGGTAAGGATCAGAATTAGCTAAAAGTCAACCTTAGTGCATACCTCGGGAAAAGTGAGTAAAAAGCATAAGTTTGGGGTGTGTATCTTACGAGTGAGGAAAGGAAATAATTGACTACTATAGGTTGAGAATCAAACCAGTTATTAGCGTTGTAATGTTTACATGAATATTCACGCACACACTTTAAGTTTCATATTGAATAAGTAGAGATTAATTTCAAATGTGTAATTTGGACACTTTTCAGAGTAATGACACAATTATCCAACCCTGAGACTAACAGCATACCATCTAACCAAAGTTTAATTGGATCGGGCTATAGATTGTTTGAGGGCATACAAATGTTCAAATTTGGAGGTGTTTGATAAGTGTATTTTATACATTTATTAGGCCATTAAAATTGGGTATTTGTTAATGAATTTGATGAAATATGACTTGATCCTATGTATATATTGTGTGTAGGTTACAATCAATGTAAAATACGAGAATAAAGAAAATAAGCAGGAAAAACGACTCAATTACATCAAGGGCAAAGTTTGGGGACTAGAATGCAATAATTCAAAAGTTGAATTGGACCAAAGAACGATAAGTTGAGAACACCAAAAGTCAATTGGAGTTGAAGAGAAGCTAATGTGACAAGAAATTTTGGAAAAGGACCAAAACATACACTTCAGAATGTTCAGGGACCAAATTGCAAATTGGCCCCTAAAATAATTGAACTATGCGTACGCATGAGCCTGCAGGCCTTGCGTATGTACGATTAGAAAATTGAACTTTCGAAACTCAATTGAGACTACTATACGTACGCACAAAATGAACCACGTGTACGCATGGTTCAACTCTGGTTCAACTCCAACAAAAAATTTATGTTTCCTTATTTTGTTTTAGAAAGTCTTGGTTTAGAATTTTTTGCACCATATTTATTCAAAAGTCAGCTAAGACATGGAAGAACCTAAATTTTTAATATCTTGCAAGCCGACAAAGATGAAAAAGAGAGCGGGAGATATATTGAAGAATAAGACTTCATCACTTAGATTCGAAATTGAAGGCATAAAGTAAAGGATTTCATATTCTTTTCATACTTTAATGATTTGGGTGATGTCGTTCTTTTATTTTTCCTATTTATTCTACATTAATATGTTATGCTAAATATCTTTGTATTGGATGGATGACAAAACTGATTGACTCTTAGTTTTTAATTCAAGACCTTAGTTTTTATCTTAATTCTTATGTTGTGATTTCTTTAATATGCATATCCATATTGTTTTAATGTTTGCGCACCATTAGGAGAATAAGTTGCTTATTCGTAGTGTTAGAAAACTCATGGTAAGTAGAACATTGTTATTGGAATGCATGGACAATGAATGTTAGGAATAATATTTGTGACGTGTGCGATCATGTATGATAATCTTATACATCAATGCGTATTTGCCATATGAATTCGGATTAGGAATAGGATGGTCTCATGGTAATTATAGGTTTATTATATCTTAGGAAAGAATAATAAATAAAAGTGAAATTATCGATCGTCACAATTGCATGAGTTGAGATAATTGTCATAAGTTAAGAATTAGAACTAAGAGTTGATCAGTTGCATCGAAAATCCAATACATTCACTCATCTGAATTCTAAAACAAATTCTCATTAATTTTGCAATTTTTAGCTATAGAACTTAATTAGCTATTCAAACAAACATTAACTTTTAGTTAATCATACGAATTTAATTATATCGAATACACTGAAATTAAACATTATTCCCTGTAGGACGATAATTCTTTCATCACAATTATTACTTGTACAACGAACCCGTACGTTTGCAAGATTTTGACGAACACTTTTTTCCGATTAAACCGCTAGGACCTAGCTAATAAGAGTTCATCTTCAAATTTTTGGTTAATGAGAATTCGTCCTACTTTTACTTAAAAATAAATAAATAAATAAATAAATAAGGGCTTTCATGTTTAATGTTGTATATTTCGATATTGTTTTTTTTTTTTTTTTATGGGAACACGGTCTTGATGGATTGACGTTCATCTTCAAACATAGTTCCAATTACTATAAATTATGGAGCTCCGCCTGAGTCTGAGGGGGCCAATAAGACCAAAACATAATACAAATTCTGTTGCTTTCACAATTCGCGACTTTCAAACTAGTAGATGTGGTTGCATTTTTTGCAGAAATCTTTCAAGCATAAGTTTGGGGTGTGCAATTTTTTTCAATTGAAATTACATATTTTACTCATTATGACGAATCAACAAGCAATATGCATCATTTATCATCCCTAGTGCGAAATAATCACAAAATCCTTTTTCTTTCATAAAAATTACACTCTTAGTTCCTAAAATTAGAAGTTACATTTTATAGAAAAGGAAATTGTAAAGGTGGACCTACTTTGGGATAGAGATTTGTAAAGTAGGCCAGAAATGTGAAGGTTGATCAGGCAGTTCAGGTTGTCGTGACTTGACTCTTGTATGGTCCAACTTCGTGAGCCACATAGATCTATTTTAAAAGTAGACCTTGCTTTGGGGCCTACCAGAAAATCACATGCCCACTTCTTAACATTTTTGTAGTGAGAACCTCGTATTTTTTGACAGACCGGCCCTGTAAAAATTGCGGAATATCTCGAGACCTGATCGAGTGGCTCAATCTATATCCGCTGTCTCATCAACAACTCTCAAACTAAGAATTAAGAATTCGTTATTTGGTACGCAAATTTCAGAGTTTTCCAATATAAACGATAAAAATAGCTTTTTATTCATACATTTCGTGAAACGTACAAGTACTAAGCAATCATATAATAGCTAGATTATCATATTGAATTAAACATACCAAAATTCAATTAAATTGACTAGGTAACAAATTTGACTTGTAGATCTGCTAGACCAAAAATATTGAATTATGCTGCCTAAACCTAGATGTAGACATTTTTCGAATTCATATGTAAGAGTTTACTCTTAGCATCAGAAACTAAATATTGCTGTCTAAACATTTTAATAAAAGCCTCAGCTCTCTCATTCAATTCCTCCTTTGAAAGCTCAAAACTACCTTCTTTCCCATATTCGTCATCTTCTTCATATTCTGCTGCAATTTTCACACATAAGCCTTCACTCTTAGGCAAGTAATTGTTGGCTGACTCCAAATTATGTCTGCAATTTTTGCTTCTCTTCTTCTTCTTCTCTTCCTCGTATGCGTCAACACAATTGTCAACTTGATTATTAGATGGCAGTTGGGTTTGCATTGTAGAGGTAAAAAGAATGGCCAAAAGCAAGAGATTGAGAGCTAAAAAAACCCACACCCGCCAATGTGTGTAGAAATAAAACCGTTCGAGGCACGCCATGAATGCTGCCATTCCCGCTGCAAACCAGACTGGTTTTAGTTCTCCTTCTCTGTTCTTATTTTCTGCCATTAAAACTTTGCTGTTAACTCTCAAGAACTGATAATCAGGCCATTTTATAGAGTCATGAAGCAATTGGGTAGGGGAAATATGGATTTGAAATGAAGGGATCGGAGGTGGGATTGGGACAAGAAGACATGTTGATTCTGAAGGAGGAGCATCAGTGGACTACCTTATGATTGCTTCAACTTAAGAACTGTTTGCTAATGTTGGGTTTTGTGCATGCCTTGTGCTTTAGGCGTGCACCGGCTTTAATTTGGTATATTCTTTTGCATCATTTTCCTTTTACATTAATGGAAGTAAAATTACATATGAAGGGTGTTGGGGGTCTCCTCCATTTGTTTATAGGAATATTTAAATATAAAAAATTTTATATACAGAAAATGAGAATAAAATAATTCGCGTAGTTTCTTCTTTTGCTTCTAATTCTTCAATATATTGTAACTAGATCGATTATATTCTTAATTTTATTTCAGCAAAAGTTCATGGCATTGTAATTTAATGCAAATTCTGTTTTGGGACAAAATAAATAAATAAATAAATAAATAATAATAATAAATCCAAACCACCAACTGCATAAGGTAACTTTTAATTCTTTCCTTCAAGGTATTGGGGTCCTTTCTCATTTTGGCAAGTGATATCATATATGCTGTCTCAGAATCGTTGTCCCTTTGACCGTCTCATAAATACATTATTGACACGTTAACACATCAACTCTTCATTATAAAATCGAAGATGCCATGTATTCGAGTGTCAAAAATTGTATTGACATCTTCTTTATTTACTATGAAGAAGAGATGTCTCGAGTTGTATAAAATGTGTCGATGGAATAACTAAAAGAACAATAACTTCGAAAGAGCAAATGTGAAAAAAATACAATAATTCCAACATAAAGGTAGCAGCGTTTTGCCGGGAGAGATGAATGCGGGTGCAAAGCACGCCAATAGGTCCTTACCGTCACACAGTGACTAGCTGACCCTACATGTCCAAATGCTCAATTGCTTATCATAAAGGTATGGACTCACTTTGTTTCCAGTTTCATAATGAAGGTTTGAGGGGGGAAAAAATAAAAATAAATATAGTTATGTAATTTTCTTATTTTTTATTTTTTACCTTTTAAGGTAAGACAGTTAAAATTTAATTAGTTGTACTGAAATTGCAAAAAAAAAAAAAGTTAAATATGATTCCTAAAAATATATTGAAAAAATATTTTACTAATCTTTACAATAACTTGGGCAACCCGACCATTCCATCAAAATGATTGCCGAGTGTCACAACCTCATCTAGTGAAACTAGAATGAAATTTTAGGATAAAATAATTTTATTTATATCTATTAGAGAATATTACTCATTTATGTAACATATAAAGTACCACGAAATGATAAGATCATTTAAATGTATAGAAACAGAATTAATTTGCTGATATTATCATTTGATATCATGTCATATGGTGATTATTATCAGCGGAGATAAATAGTGTTACTCTTTGGGATATGCTAAAGTTTAAAGCTCTATTAGATACAAGCCCAATCATGTCCTTTACCATTGGTTCTGTTTACGCCATGGGCTATCCTTACACACAAGGCCCACTTAGTGATCTCATAAACTTGTTCACAAAATTATTCTTTCGATTTGATTCAGCAAGTGTACGGTTCGCAACAAATAATAAAGTGGAAAATTACAGTTCAAATGTTGTTCCACGGAGATTCAATAGTTTAATTCTATCTAACTCAGCTATAACCTAAATCAAATTATTACACGAGATTTGTAATAACTAGAATTAGCCCTAATTTTAACCCAATATGCAAATATGAAATCCCCAAGTAATGTGCAATTCTAACCCTAGTTTCACAAATTGACGACACGTTGATATTTTGAAGAATCAATACTCTTAAATGTATCCAATAATCTCTCTTGAGTAAAGTTGAACATATTCCCATATACCACCGACCTATATCTATATGATGGGTGCAAATATATAAAAATGTATGTGATTTTTTAAGCACTTAAAGATTCACACAAAGCACAACGGTATATCTATATTTCTTATCGGACCTTAAAATGATTTATACCCTGTCGAACTCATTCACCTTTTCTCGAATGCATGAAATAAGTCACTACATTCATATAATTACATTCACATAATTATTGAAGCAATTGATTGCATATAAATCATTCGAAATTCAAGAAACGCGTTTTGATTTCAAACCTGCAAAAGTAGAAATAAAAAAATTACATCACGAGGTTCATCAATCTCTTAATACATGAATTTTTAGCATAGCATGAAGAAAATTACAAATTACATGATAATTTTTCTTCCCCGGGCAATTTCTCCTTTGATGATTTCAGGGTTTATATATCGTGTCGCAACGAGGTTTTATAAGAGTTTTAACGAAAACATGAAGCTGCATAATTCACGCCCCGGATTGTAGCTATGCGATCGCATAGCTTAGCCAAAAATGCCCTTTCATTTTCCTGCCGCAGTGTATGCAACTGCATGAAGTTTACTACTATGCGGTTGAATAGTAGTGTAAATTTCCAAATTGTGTCACTTTAGTTCCTAAAATTGATTTACTCCTATTGTGACCTCTTTTATTGATTCTCCTCTTTCCATCAATCCAAAATAGCATTGAATTAGCGCTTGGTTTGTCCAATTCCTCGATTCTCCCTTTGGATCATCTTTTGACTTATTTACATTTTGGTCCCTAAACTTTCATTTTTCCATCTTGGTTCTTCATCATCATTTTCATCCTTCTATCATCACGTTTGTGTCCTCAATTAGCCTTTTGGATCAACTTTTGGTTATTTGCACTTGAGTCCCTAAACCTTATTTTTCTTTCATTTTGGCCATTTTTTTACATCTTTTCTCTTGAATTCCATCACATCCATCAACACAGTCCTACAAAACAAGATTTAATAGAATTAATTCATATTTCACTATATTTATCAGGAAATAGTCATTTTTTGTGGCTTGAATAAGTGTGTAAAAACTTACTTATCAAGTACCAGAATCTTGCGACCAACACTTACTCGACACTTGATCGAAATATTGTCTATTTTAACTATGGACTAGATAAATATATAGTTAAAGCATTTCTCAAATTATTGTAGACATAAAAAAATAAAATGAATTGGGTTGATTTAAATAGTTGGCCCAATTAAATTTGAAGTCTGCTAAAGTCCATAAAACCCAAAACCCTATCTCACCTTTTAAATAAATAAATAAACAAACAAAGAAAATCATAATTACTCAATTATTCATTTTAATTAATCTCCTATAAATAAGTCCAATGTTCCATGAGAATAGATTGGCAGAAAAGAAATAAAAGAAGAAGTGAAAGCAGAGAATGCGATCATGAAGTGCTGAAAAAATTTTAAAGACAGAGAAGGAGAAGAAATCTTCTCAAACCTAAATTCAGTGAATCCCAAGAAAATCAAAATCTTCTTCAAATCAAACATATTCACACCAAGTTCGGGAAGGTCAAATCTTTTTAAAATCAAATCAAATTCAAGCATAAGTCCAATCCCCAAAACTCAAGTGCTGGACAAGTTGAGTATCAACAAATCCTCGAAGGCTAGGATTCAAGCTACGTGATCTCTCGTCTTCAAATATTCAAATTATTAATCAGAGGATTTTTACAATTTTGCAATTATAAAAAGGTTAATATCACTTGTATTTTTATCAAAATACTATTTGTAACGATTTCTGCATTTTAATACACGAAATTCATCGTACAATTATAAATCTGACCTTAAATAATAGAAATGATATAATTGAAAAGAAAAATGTAATTAAGTTTTTCTAAATCTCTAGTCATTTAAATCTTGAACTGCATTTGCGATTTATAATTTTTAGTTTTTAAGTTTCCGATAATTTTATATTTCTCATATTGACTTTGACGTGATGAGCTTAAACAGGGGGAGCAATCGAATAATTTCAAATAAGGACCTTGAAAATATATTTCTCTTATCCTCTTTTTGGTTTTTTAGTAGTATCGTTATGTTATGGTGAACATTTATCCAGTTTTGGTTCAGTTTCAAGTTAGGGTCCATTTGATTGTAAAGGTGAAATTGAATTGAATTAAAAACGAATTATAATGAATTGAATTGTCTAGAAATTGTTTTCCTGGGAATAGTAAATTATTGTTTTTTATTGGTATAATTTTCCAAGTGGAAAATGTTGAAATAAAAATATTTTTTGGTGTTCGTTTGACTTTATTTTACATGAAAATTATCAATTAAAGGGATAGCTTTTATTAGTATTAGGGATGAAATTTGTTTCCATTGCTAAAAAAAAAAAATTCAAGAAAATTATCTATCTTTTGTGTTCGTTTGTCTTTGTTTTACATGAAAATTGTCAATTAAAGGAAAATATTTGTGTACAATAATTCTTAGAATTTATTTCCATTGCCAAAAAAAAAAAAAAAAAAAAAAAAAAGGAAAAAAAATTGCTACAGTGATCCAAGGAAGGTGAGAATTCATTTTCCTCAAAAAGAAGAAAAATGTCTATGAGGCATCAAAAGGTGGAAAATGAATTTCATGGAATTTTTTGCCAATCAAACACCAAAAAAATGAAAAGATAGAATTGCAATTCCATTTTCCATGAAATTGATGTGCAATCAAACACTACCTTGGAAAATTCGGTTCCGATTAAAATGCTCACCCCCTTTGCTCAATGTTCCTTCATTTCCAATGTGAGTTGGGACTTTTCCAATTTTCCACCATTCATCTAATTCCATTTTTAAAGTTTTAACCAACTCTCTTTTGACCTTAGTTTCTCATTTACTCAAAGTTGATTTCAAGCAAGTAAATATAGGGCAACAATCTGCTCACAAAGTAAAACACGTTTGGCTAAAGTACTCTCGAATTCAACTAATTAGAACTGCTCAAATACTTGATCAAAATTGGTCAAAACCAACTTATAATAAGCAATTTCCAGCAAGTTGTCCTAGGTTTGTTTCTTCAAATGTGCCAACTAATCAAAAATAACGTTTAGCAGTTGACTGGAGAGATATTTCAACGATGTCCATGTTCAACTGTGACATGCTATCAAAAAGGGTAAAGCAATTCTACCAGATTTTGTACAAGTTACTCACAGTGTCATGGATCACACCCAATTAAAAAATGTCACAAATAATACCACACCCATTTGCATGTGAGTAGTAGTTGGAGGTTCTGTGAATCCCCATCCCAGTAGAATAGCACAATCCATTAAAAAATGATAAAGTTATTCTACCAGATTTTGTATAGGTTACTCACAATGGGATGGGTCCCACCCAAATAAAATATGGCGCAAATAGTACCACATCCACTTGCATGTGAAAGGACTTGGAATTCAATTTCTACCTTCCTTTCCATCTCCAGTCATCAATGATGATTAGCGGCGGATTTAAGGGTTGGCCAGCTAGGGCGGCCGCCCTAGCTAGATTCGTCATAGAGAAATTTTTTTTGTTGATAATAGATAAAAATTTTAAGTTATATGATTGATAGTTCATTTTATTTTCAAACCCCTCATTGGCGCAGTTGGTTAGAGCTTGCATTTTTATATTCCAAGTATTGGGTTCGATTCCTTCCCGTCCATTTCATTGTGCAAAGTTTTTATTTCTAAAATATTTACCAAAATTAATTTCCTAAGGAAAGGATTCAAACCTATAACTTCTAATTTGGATGATTGGAAGCTTAAGTGCTTAACTATCATGACAATTGTTGAATTTTGAATCTAAATTTAACAAAACAATATATGTTAAGATTCTAGGAGAGTCAATGACTATTTTTTTTTTTTGTTGGTTTTTGTCGTTCCAAATATTTTATGCTTTAATAATTTATAAGATATGATTTATGAATATTGAGTTTTAATTTATTTGAAAATTTGTCTACCATGAATTGTGATATTAAAAATTAATTTAAGTATCGTGAAATGTGAATATGTGATTTATGAAAATTGAAAATGAGAAATTGGGAAATTTATAATTTGTGATGAATTGGTGTTGAGAATTGAAAATTGAAACTTTAATTATTTTTTAAAATTAATTTTAATTACATTTAATCTTTGATTAACGTTTAATTCTCATACTAATTATGGAATGATTTTTTCAACTGAATCTCAATCTAGTTCTTGTAGTGTTGTATCTAATCTCTCAACTATTTTTAGTCAATCAAACGATTTGTTAAGCATTGATAACACAAAGAAGTTTTATGTATTATGTAATTTATATTATTTAGGATTGTATTGAAATATAATATGATATAAATATAAGATTTTTATGTTTTAGTGTGTTTACATATAGATGGAAGAATTTTTAATATTATTTTATTTAATATTAATAAACAATATCGCTATACGGCTGTTGACTATCGACAGTCAACGGCCAATGATCAACAGCCGTTCTAATTGAGTCGAAGTCCTGGATTCACCTGTGATGATGATCCCTCCTCTTCTCAACAGATACACTACTCTCTTAGCTTTCCTGCTATTTTCCAACTGGGTATACTCTAACGACGATGTTAGATGCTTGAAAGGGGTGAACAATTCGTTAACTGACCCAGAGGGGAAGCTTAGTTCATAGAGCTTCTCAAATACTTCGGATGGGTTCCTTTGTAACTTTGTCTGGCTTACATGCTGGAATAGTAATGAATCCCGACTCTTAAGCATGGAGCTTGGAGACTTCAGCCTCACCGGAAAAATCCCTGACTCTATATAGTACTGCCTCAACCTTCAGACCTTGATCTCTACGTAACCGTCTGTTTGGTTCCATCCTACCTCAAATTTGCACTTGGCTGCCTTATTTAGTCACTCTAGATCTATCCTGCAATGATTTGATAGATGGAATCCCCGTTGGTCTTGCAAACTACATGTATCTAAACAACTTGATCTTAGATGACAATTAATTGTCTGGGAATATCTCGGACAAGTTTTCGAATTAGAGAGGATGAAAAAGCTTTCGGTTGCTAATAATGATTTATTAGGGAGGGTGCCCCTGTTTAAGTATGGGTCACTGGTGCTTAATATAAGCGGGAATAGTGGGCTTTGCAGCTAGGAGAAGAGCTAGGATTATTATTCAGTGCGGGCAAAATTTTTTATGTGTTCGTATCCTTTACATGCTCAAACAATTCTTTCTCGATTATTGTCTTTATGACAAATATAGCCGTGCTCACTTTGATTATCTAATTTTATAAAGCCATGATTTTGTCTAGTGGTATCGTGTCACTTCCGTCAACTACTTCTTGTAGGTCTTGTCCTTGGAGATAAAACTCTATGTAAATTTGTCGCATTGTATAATTTTTGGTTATTGAACTTTTTCATTACGTCTACAACTTTTAGGTTTTCTTTCGTGATTTAATTTACCTCTTTGTAATCAAATGAACTTTATAGAAGCTTTAGAATTTCCCTTTGTACACGAACCCCAAAAGCTCAAATATTCGTCTATGATTGCTACTCTCTAATATCAAATTATTAAATTTAAATATTAAAGAAACAATTTAATTGATGAAAATTTGTTTAATATTTTGTTACAAACGCACTCTCTCTCATCAAACACCAATACACGCCACCTCACTATCTACAACACTCACTCCACTTTGCTGAAACCTATAAGTTCAATCTCTCTCTATCACAACACTCAATCCACTTCTCTATTTCTCTTCTCACTCTATCAATTCTCTGCAAACGACAACCAATTTCTCTCACACTCCATTTGAATTTATAGATCTACTAAGCACCGGTGTTCAACTTATGTTAAGCATCGATGACATGGCAAGATTCTTCAATGTTGATGATTTAATCGCATTTACGAGTTTTTGCCTTCCAATTTGTGGGCACCCAAAATTGAAGTCTGAAAGGAAATGAGCCAAAGTGTAGTATGGGCATATGCCCGCATTGGACCCTTCATAGCTCCACCCCTGTTTGCAATGGAAGATTTGGAATGAGTAGAGTTTGGCCATTATTATCTCGGCCAGGGTTGCTGAGGCGCTCTTTTCAATGTTGATAGGGTTATGTCTACGATGGTGGTGTAATTATCGTGATTCAATATTTGAACAAAATGTACGAGGTACATCTAATCCAATCATACAGTGTAACGAAATGTTTGATTTATTTTGATTAGTAGTTTGTTTAATTTATTTTAATCTAGGTTGAATAATCAATATTGGATAATATGACAAATGTTCAACAACAGTGGTTTATAAAATTTCTCTATTTGAAGACATAATTTTACTTGTCAAAACGAGGAATCATTTCAATAAAAATTCACCTGCCTATGTGCTTCACTTGTTGGTAGCGTAATGGCATATGTTACGCTCCGATCTGATACACCCCGGAACTCGCACCACCATATATCCTGACCTGATAAAGACCCGTCCGAAGTGTTTCCAAAGTGATATCAGCAATGCCTGCAACCTAGTAGTACTGACCTGACCGAAGCACCTCGCCCGCGAGGCCGAGGCCAAGTGGACCCAGGTTAGAAGATCCGCCGCCAATTTCAAAAAGAGATTTGTGCCAAGATCCTTCCTGCACCTAAGGTTTAAATTGATTTGGCGTCTCCATGAGGCTAGTTGATAGAGGCAAAGGTGATGAAACTCTTACTACATAGCACTCCATAGCAAGCTTATACATTTTCTCCTCCTCCTTATCATTGATTTGCACAGCCCCTGGGTACTGTTCCGACCACTTAAACCTGACTTGACCGTCAGAGTGTATACGGCCACCACCACCCTCACTGGTCCTGGCTGTGTGCATCTGACCATTCGCTAATTGTGCGTAGGGAGGAATACTTGGAGTAGCTCTCGGTTGGCCACGTGGAAGGACCAATTTTCGAGGTCAACAGATTGGTGCCGTCTGTGGGAAGCACTTCCCATTCAAAGTTTTGCATTCTCCATCAGAGAAGTTACCAAAAAATTAGCGACTAACCCTGAAAAGGGGACGTTCTTGAAAAAGAACAAAGTCGAGTTACAATTCAAGTTCTCACCACCCTTGAAAAAAGAGATATGATGAGCTACAGCCATGAAGACGACAACCCCATGAGAGAGGCCTCTGAAGAAGAGGTACTCCATAACAATGTTACTCATCAGAGACCATATCACCGGCATTGCCAAAGTGGAAGAACAGCCATACTCACTGAAGGAATGACTCAGATAGCTACAGGTATGAGAGACATCGCGGCTCAGAATATGGCAATGCATGAACTCCTCATGCAAGCCCAGGGTCATCAGGGCTATCAAATGCCCCAAGGATCTTATCCGGTGCGGGAAGCCCCTGTATCTCACTCCCAAGGCCACATGAGTCGGCACACAGAACGTTCCCTCGAAAGAAAGATAAACGTCGAAGCCACATCTTATGTGCAAGGGAGCCAGCTATCAGAACCACGCTTGGAGGTCATTTCCCTCAAGAACATGAAGAACAGAAGTCGGTAAGCATCTTCGACTGGATAGGGAAAGGTCCTAGCAATAGGGTCCGCCCAGCAAGATAATCAGTTCGTCCAGATCACGAACAAGAATATGCTTCCCTTCCTCCTAGAAATAGGAGAGATATGAGAAACCTAGTCGATTGGGGAAGTCGAGGAGAAGCACCTCCACCTTCCCAGAACATCCAAGATGATGAAGGGTCAGATGGATCCTGTTGATCTTATGAAATTGACAATGATGATGATAGCCTCCCTTTCTTAAGAGAGATCCGAAGGTTCCCAATGCCAGCAAATTCCATGCCCCTAAGATCCCCAAGTATGAAGGAAAGGGGGACTCGGAGAAGCACCTCACCAAGTACATGACACAGATGAGCCTAAGGGGAGCCTCGCTTGCTTTAAAATATAGAGCCTTCCATTTAACGCTGGGTGGGGCCGCCGAGGTATGGTACAGTAGGCTTCCTCCCATAGGCATCAGAAGTTGGCCAGATTTGAAGAAAGCATTTTTGAACCAGTACCTCTCACGCAGAGAAGGAGAGGCACCGGTGCAACGCCTACAAGATATGAGGCAGGCCCCTGGGGAGATGCTGAAAAGTTATCTCACCAGGTTTACAGACAAAATCACCTACTGCGAACAGGTCACTGACAGAGAAACCCTTTCATCCCCTGAAAGGTGGGCTCAACATGAACACTTTGTTCTGGAGGGACGTCCGCAGCAAGAATCCCTCCACATATGACGAGCTGGTGAAAATGATGAGAGTGAAAATTGTTAGTGAAGAAATGATTGATCATCACAACTGTGCCGCGTAGGGACTCCCTCTTCCTCAGAGGCAGGTAGGTCAAGGACCCGCAGCACACCTTGTTACTTAGCAATGGACCCGAGCAAGTCATACAATAGCTCCCACATCCAGACAGACCCTAGCTTTCGCCACATTGAATGCAGTACCGGTGTTGGCATATGATAATGCTCCTACCGAAGCGGGACTATCTGGAAGAGCTGATAACTAGAAGAAGAAGAAGAAGAGGTCAAACAGACCCTT